CACACTACAACATCGGCTGGCGAGTGTATGGGCTGTGCTGAACAGGAATTTGGATGTCACTGTAATGCAGATCCTTGTCTTGCAGATCAGTCCCTTGTGCACTGATACAGCCACCTCAGGGAATGCTCACATTCTCAGATTTCTGTGAGCTGAACTTGCTGTTCTCCTCACCTGATGGTTGAGGGAAGCCCATGAGGTGCAGGCTGCTGGCACACCTTTAATTAGATGTAATTGTGCATTACTTGCTCATTACTGGGAACTTGGCAGGCATTGAGAAGTTGGATTTCCAATTTCCAAGCAGAAAACGACTGCATTGCCTATTTTAATGCAGGTGCAGGTGATCAATTGGGTGCTGAAATAATTGTGGTATGCATCCTGCATTTGCTCTGGCCTGCATTAAACCTGTTAACCTGTAGTTAATAGTTGTGTTGGCATAGAGCTGATGTTGCTTAAAAGTCCACTGAAAGCAAAAAAATCACTTTTCTAACCAACCAAGACAAGAAAAACATTAAGTGATGAATTTGTTTTATCAGAAATGTTTTGGCCAGCTTTGGTTGGTTAAAAGAAAACCCATCTCCTCAAAACAGCCAAAGCCTTGAAACAGAGTTTGTCATCTTTTAAAAACAAAACAAAACTCTGTTTTTACCTTTTTTTTTTTGCAATTGTAGTTTCAGAAGGGAGATTGCTCAGAGAGGCCTGAGTTGTGGTGCTTTAGACTATTATTCCACACCATGGAAAAGCAAAATTAATGCAAAATAAATGGTTTTGAGAGGTCAGTGTAATAGTTTAATTTACACCCAGACTTGTGCTACAAGTGTTTTCATAATTGACGCTTTTGGCAATTTCAAAGTGTTTGCCTGTAAAAACGAATGAATTCATTTATTATGAGTTCTTAAATGTGAGTAATTTAGATGCCTGGACTGAAATTTATTTTCTTGAGCACAAAGACATTTTGGCAATGCAAACTGTGACTCCTGAAGGGAAAAGGAAACTTACAACTTCCTGAGTTGTTTTCTTTCCAGTGTGTTGACAGAGGAGGTACTTGAAAAATAGAAATTATTGAACTGGGGATAAGACAGTAACTTGTTTGTGTTTTGTGTTACAGACTTGGTTGCTGGAAGCCTTCCATGTGATCAAACAGTACTTTCAGACAAACTAATTTTCTATTAAATGAAGTTTAATTTTGAGGTAAGGTCCTGTTTAATTTTCTTTGTTATGCACATAATGACATAAAGCCTACGGTAATTTAAAAGCTCGTACATATTAGTATAAAATTTTCTGTAGGGAGAATGTGAAGTATATACTTCTGTGACTGTGTGTTTATGAAGAGAGAATCTGAGCTGAAAAATGAATGTGATGAATGAACACTGAAGTGCCAGATAAATATTGTAATTAACAGCCTGGAGATTAACCTGGCTGTGACAGACATGGACTGTTTTGAATCAGTTGCCAGGGAGACTGGAGAATATGATCATGTAATAAGTGATTTCTCTAAGCCTTAAGAAAAAGGGCCATGCCTTTCATTGGTATGAAACAGATAGCTGAGAAGATGAATTAACTCTTTCATCTGAATACATGTAAGAGATGGCAAAAAGAACAAGGAAAAATCATTGCTAGAATAACTTCCCAGATAAATTACCACTTCTGTGCTGTAATGCTCTCAGAAGAGAATGTCACTGAATGGTAAAATTGGCTTTGGGCAAGATGTTGATAAATCTCACCCCATGTTCTTCATCTGTTGGAGTTACCCTGACCTTGTCCACATTACTGTTCTAAATGTGGCTCTGGCTTTGACTGCTCATCTGGAAATGGAGCTTGAAATACTCAAAGGTCGCTAATGGAATTTTGTCCTGCAATTCTCCATCTTTGAAAAATGTCTTCGGTGAACTTTCACAGCAGCCTATAATTAAAGCAGCATGTCAGTTTGTATCAAATATGTCTAAGGACAAGGGTAAATGAAGGTGGTTTAGGTACATATTGAAGTAGGCTTTGCTGGGAAAAATAACAAAATGTGTGAATTTCGCTTCAACTGTTTTAAGGCTGCCGAGCTGACTTTGAGCTTATTGGTGAGATGTGCTCTTGGTGGGCACATGTGGAGGAGGAGGAGGGTTTGACTTCACATCAGCACACAGTTGGCAGTGTAGCAGACTCAGTGTAATCCAATTGACGTGTAATGTTTGCACACACTGTCACCCCTGTGAAAAGTTCAGCTGTTTGATGATTTCTTTGTTCCTCTGTCTCTGCTGTAGAAGCAGTGGATGCTTTGGGGTTCAATCCTGTTCCCTTCTGAAATCTAGGTTTTTCTCAAACCCTGCTCATAAATCTTTATAAGGACCATGCCACCTTCTGATTTCTGTCCTTCCTTATCCAGTGGTTGTGAGCTGTTTTCACCTTGGGGGTATGGAGTGTTCTTACAGCTTGAGCTCAGTCTGTGTTGTCCTGTTCTGTGGCTGTGACAGAGATGTTCATTTGATGGGTGCAAGCACACTGTTCTTGCTGAGCTTTTCTGTTTTCATTAATGTTGCTGATTCTGGTAGTAACTGAGCTTTCTGCAGTCTCTAGCTATAGATCTTTTTCCCTTCCTCAGCTACTCTCTTTTTTTATTTTTTTTCCCCTTTTTATCCCTTTATTAGTTGCTCAGAGCTCTTTTGACTAGCCATTCCCTGTTTGTTTCTTCTTTTGGAAGAAGTGTTCTTTTTTAATAAAAAATAATTTAGTAGAGTAATTACTTTTAGTAATCAAAAAGCAGAGTCTGGCATCTCTGCCTGAACCTGAGGCTCAAAAAAAAAATAATGTTTAAAGCTGGCACTCAGCCTTTGAGATGGTGAGAAATGGTGAAGTTTTGAGACATCTTGTTGTCCTTTCCCTCTCTGTTCAGGTGCTGGCATCAGAAAATGAAGGGAGCATGCATAAGGTCATTCCACCTTGCTGCAGTAGCATCAGCCAAAGCATTAGCATTCTAAAAATGATAAACTGTGACTGGTAATGTGTGTGTGGTAAATCATATGTGTGTGTGGTAAATCTCAAGGAGGTGATGGAGGTTGGAAGAGCAAGAGAATGTTTATTTTTCAGTAGCTATTTAAACCCATTGGAAGGAGATTCATGATCTGCTGTTTTTCTCTTTGGCATGGCACCATCTGGGTTGTAGACTGTGTGTAAACTTTCCAGCATTGCCAGTTCCATGTGACCACCTTCCTAATGAGGGATATATGTTGGATTACAATTGCTGTCTTCACTGACATGAAGTTTTTTTATTTTTACTATTTTTTGTAAACTGTTTTCTATCTCCATGGCATGAAAATTGATAAAGAATGGTAATTTATTTTAAAAATTGTGTTAATCTCACGTTGACACCACATTGTGATAGCTTTTGAGAAAAAATTGTCTAGATAGTATGGAATTGAGACCTGAGTGTTTAAAAGGTAGAAACATAACTGAATTAATTATAATTTAGATTTAAGTATTGCTTGGCTTTGTTCTGAATTCTCCAATAGGTATTATGTGGCAAAAGTGTGCTAAAGTAGTGAACTTACATGAGGCAGATCTATGTGATTTTAAAGTGCACTTCATTGTTCTGTGTGAACATAGAAGGGATTTTAGTGCATTCTGTGTTCTTGAACAGAGGAAAAATGGATTATCTTGCTTAAAGAGTACCTGTAGCTATGACTGGGGCCCACTTTGCCATGCTTTCCCCAATATAAATGACAGTCAGTCTCTAAGCTGTCAACCTGAATTTTCACTAAATGAGTGAGCTCTTTACCAAGCCTCCTGCCTTTGAAATGGGCCTGCAAGAAATAAGTTTTCCAAGTCAGAAATCTCTTTGCCTTCAACTTGAATTTGTGAGGATTCTAGGTGAGGAGTTGGCTTATTGTGGAGATCATAGTTTGGTTGCCAGCATGCCAACCAGCTGTGTGAATCCTCCACATTTTCTTGGCTTACTTAAATAAGTGGAATGCTGGCTTGCTAAAACTACTATTGCATTCATTCAAATAACATTTTAGAAATGTTTAATTTTTTTCTGCCTCACTTCCTGTTTAAGCGATCTGTTTTAAATAATTGAATTAATTGATTTTTTTGGACAAATGGATCAAAAACCTACTGAGAGCAATTTCAGTGCCTGTTAAGTTTACCATTTCAGATGGAATCAATGAGAGCAGAGAACCATTCCATATAAACTCCATTACAGGATTGGCAAAAAATTACTGTATTTGAGCCTCACCAATTTTCTTCTGTGTAGCAAAACTGTTTTTGAAGACTTATCAACCCCATCTAATTCTGAATGGTGATGGTGATCAGAATTATCAGTGTGGATTTACTTCAGTGATTGCAGTAGCTGAGTGGATTTCATATCATTAAATAGTTCAAATTCTTTAACAAATTAGTAAGGTTGTTCATAAAGCCTGTAAGAAACTTGAGCAGCCTATTAGTTCCCTTCATGTTCCCTGGGGTGGATGATCAAGTAGATGTGTATGAGGTAACTGTTGACTGCTGTTCTGTTCTCCTTGAAGAAAATTATTTAAAAGTTCCTGGGCAGCACCAGATGATGTTCAGGAGGGTGAAAGGAAAGCAAAAGAAGAATCCATATATGATTTACCATGACAGTTCATCTGGGACATTGCAATACTGTTTCTCTGCCAAAACATGTCAGTTAAAAAAAGAAGTAAAATAGAAAATGCAGAGTAATAGTTAGAGCACAGCAGGTGACCCCAAGCAGTCATTAAATGTCCAAGCTGTGTCATTAAATGACTCAGGGAAGAACTCCAGGGGATTTATTCCATCTGACTTTGTGGTGTGTCCCAAGAATGGCAGGTGGAGCTCTGAAGTTTGAGTGGTGGCTTCAGTTAATGCAATGGGGAGGAAAAAAGCATTAAATTGAGGGTGCTCAGAGGTTGTAGATCTAGGCATAAAAGCTTTAAAATTGTCCTTCAAAACATTACAGTATTTAAGCAATTGAAAATAGTGTGAATATACAGAACTGCTCTAGCCTGGATTTAACAGCCCATTTTCTACTTCAACCTATTCTTAGTGTGATTTAGAATCTAGGTGAAATACTTCAAATAGTCATGTCTGCTGCTTTGGAAAACCAGTTTTCTATCAGCTAAACCACAGAATAGGAACTATTTTTAATCATAATTTCTTTTTCTTATCCTATAATTTACATAGATACTACAGATTGGATAATATATTTGAAGCTGTATAAACCTATACAAATATATCCCACTGTAAGCAAGTTCCAGTGCTTGAGATGGACCTAGATTAACCTTATAGGAGTTGAGTTTAAAAAAATAAAGCACCCCTCTAAAACCCATCATACCCTTTAAAAAGGGGGAAAAACAAACCCACACCAAATAAAAATGTCTTGTATACATCAGATAGCATTTTAGTAATAGTCTGTGCATATATTTACTGCTCTCCTCCCAGGGACTCTGGGGGAGGAACCTGGCCAAAGGATGTGATTCTCTTCTGGTTTCTACAGAAACTCATGCTTCTGGTTTTGCTTTTCTCTTGCAAAATAGGAAAACAAAGTCTGGAAGGCCTCTTCAAAGACTTTCATTGAGTGCCACAGTGCGGGCCCTTGCTGCTGAGCCTTGTGATTTCTGTTACAGCCAGCTCCAGTCAAGCTCTTGGCTTATCTTATCTTATCTAAAAGCTGTTTCAGCTCTGTCTGGGACAGTGACATTCCTTCTGTAGTTCTTGTAATTCATACTTCCTTTTGAAGATTTATTCCAGCAAGTTAGATTGCAAATATGCCTTTTGACTTAAAAAGCAAGCTGAAGTTCAATTGCTAATAAGCTGACTGTCCTATAAACAACTCTTAATTAGACCCAAATATTTTGGTCTCTTACATAATTCTGCTTAAGGGAACTTCCTTGCTGGGCTCTTAGCAAAAGAGATGCTGTTGCTGAATGACTATAAAGCATGAACTGAGAATGGTATCTATTAATGCTAATAATTACAGCCTGCTCTCATAGTAACCTTTCAAAGCTTGTCCTGGTTCATCTTTGTTTTGCTGTGGGGATTTTTTTTCCAAGTAGTTTGTTTGTAAAATTTAGTACTGCATGCTTGCAGCTAAATGCAGTGAATTTTTCCTGAGATTCTTGAAGTTTTTTAAGGTAGAAAACTTAGCAGCATGTGTGGTGTGTGTATACAGCCATAGTGGTTGAGCAGGGATTTTCTTAGGGCAGGGG